TCTCGCCAAGTTGCCCAGGCAGGTCTCGAACCCATGGTCTCAGGCAGTCCACTCACCTCAACCTCCTAAAGGTGCAGGATTACAGGCTGAGCCACCGAACCCAGCTAAAAAATGTTTTTCAAAAAAGAAGTCTTGGCCAGGCTTGGTGGTTCAGCCTGTAATCCCAGTACTTTGGGAGGCCAAGGCAAGTGGATTGCCTGAGCCCGCGGGTGCAAGACCAGCCTGGGCAACTTGGAGAGACCTCGTCTCTGCAATAAATCAAAAATTAGTCAGGTGTGGTAGTGCGCACCTGTAGTACCAGTTACTTGGAAGGCTGATGTGGAAGAATCACCGGAGACTAGCAGGTCGACGCTGGAGTGGCTATGAGTGTTCCACAGCCCTCCAGCCCGGGAAACAGAGTGAGACTCCAACTCAAAAAAATAATAAGTCTATAATAATATATTATATAATTTACGTGTGGCCCATAACAATTCCTCTTTACTCAATGTGGCCCAGGGGAGCCAAAAGGTTGGACATTCCTGTCTAAACAATACAACATAAAATTATTTACATAGCACTTAGGTATTAGATTTGGAATGTAGAAAGCCTATATTTGGCATAGATTCCATTTAAATTTTTCTTTGCTTATCAAAATTATATTGTATATTATTTAATGGTTCACTTCAGAATATAGTAATTCAATGGTTCACTTCAAAATAAAGTAATTCCCTTTCTCAAACACATTCTTTTCTCCTAGATTCTATTTTATATCACATTTCTCTAAAGGTCATTTTTAAATACAACTTTGATATAAATGAAAGTTTTAATGAACAACAACAAAAATGTGCACAAATAACAACTACAAGATGAATGCTTAAAAACACTGAAAATCAATTTGGTAATTTAACGGTTTAATTAGATTTCATAATAAATTTAGTATTTTGCAACAGCCTGTTATACAAAGCAGTTGGGCCCTGATCACAGTGAAAATAGGGAATATTTGAGTAAAGATTTTAAAAAACCATCCCGATGCAAATAGTAAGAGTCTCTAGTAAGGTTTAAATAATTCTATTCACACATCTTTTAATTTACATATAACTTTCCCAAGAGGTTTCTGATGTTTCGTGCTGAGGGTCACTCACCTTCCGATAAATCATATGGCACATAGCTACTCTTAACCTCATGCCAGCACACTGAACGTGGTAAAAATACAAGTGATGCAATATGGCCAAGATGAGAGTACAAAAAGTCAGCACCGTGGCATAGGCGTAGGCTGTGTACAAAGCCGCAGAGTCCGTGGGATCATAATCTTCAAAGTAATTAATAATTTTCCCCAAAAATATGGGCTGAACTACTTTGGTGCCTTCCTAAAAGAAGAGGGGGGAAAAAGCCTTAATTAGACATACAAACCACACCAATCTTTAACATGTACTTTACTTTTATTAGCATGTCAAAAAGGCATTTTTACCAAGTGCAACATATCACTAACCTAAAAGAAAAACAGGGCTACTTTCCTCTTTAAGAGAAGCAGCTAATAGTTTTCACCTGAGGTCAAAATTATAATTTCAGAGATGATAAAGCTTTAGTACATTGTGCTTGGTACACTGTGGATGCTCAATAAATATTACAACCAGTGCTTTAACACACATTTGGCACACTACCAAATAAGTCTTGGCTTAAAGTAAATAAGGAAAAACGCCCCAGAGGGTTAAGGGATTTGCTTACACCCCAGCTCTTGCTCTGTACTATGGACATGCAGTCCCAAGGAATGTTAAGAAGGCTCATTTATGAGAGATGCACTCTTGCCATCTCCGCCTGCTTTAAGAACCTTTATGAACTGATAAACAGATGAGAAAAGAGAACACTCCAATCTTTTCCAACCCAGACTCCATATGTCAGCAGATGCAAGACAACCAAGACCAGCTTCTGTTCAAGTATTAAAAAGGAGCCCCCCAACTCTTGGCCCCAGCGGACACTACTTCAATATATTCTGCCCTCAGAAGCTGGGACGTACCCAGAAGGACTGCCACCTTTGGTCAGGTAGTCTACAGTCAAAAATTAAATACAGAAGAAGTCATGCTAAAAGATAATGTCATTGGGGGTCTCCATCAGCCATACACTGAAGGTGCTGATTTTAGAGCAATATTAACAATCAGTTATTCCCCAAGGTAAAAATTAAAATCCCATAGCAATGAGCTGGGGGCATGAGAGCTTACCTTCTAAACAAGACAGAGGAAGCAATTTTATTACTCAAGTTCAAATAAAGGCAAAGAAATAGCAAAATACTGCTTGAGCCATGGTACTCAACAGGTCAAGGACCCTTCCTTTCCTTGCTCTTGGACCTCTCCCTGCCATTGGCCACTCCACCCATACCCCGCTTGCCCCCACTAGTCAGCCCCTGAAAGGGACCCTCCTCTTTCATCAAAGAAAACCAAACACTCACTGCAAATCCACGTCACCAAAAGTAAACATGGAGGCCCTTGATATCATTTCCTCCTGACTTCTCAAAAGACAAAATGCCAAAAGTTTGGAAATCTTTCAACTTGACTTTGAAATAAGCGTCTCCTTTTATTAACAAAGACATGGTCAACAGCTGACAGGTTTGCTGTGGATAGCTGTTTTCTGTGTATTTGAAGTGAGGAAAAGGGAGAGAGAATCGATATAATAAATAAAACAGAACTTACACACATTTTCTTCCCAACAAGTAGTATCCAACCAGGATATTTACAGAAGGCATACTCATCCCTCAAATGGGTCGTAACATTAGATCCCATCTCTCCTGACCTTCTGTAAACACATGCTCACACAAACACAGAGACTACACCAACCACACTGCCTTCCATGAGATCATGGAAGTTTTTTCTACAATTCTATTTAGTTGAAGAACTATGACGAAGATGATCAAACAGCAAGAACACAGAGGCTTACTGCAACATTTCCAGCATGTTCCATCATTCACCTCAAGAGGCATTAAGTGTTGACGAAGACCCTTTAATACAGCAGGTCATAACAGGCTGTTTAGAATTTACTGGGATGAAATCCGGAGGCTTGAACAGAGAACAGGAAGGCCAAATTGTACACATGGGCAGTCCCAACACAAAAGTGACCAAGGGCATGCTAGAGCAGCAGCAGACACACGTGGGCTATCAGTCAGAAGCCCAATACTAACCTCTGCCTTCCCGATTATTCCTGAAACTTCTTGTGGTCTCTGGGAGTCACTGTTGCCTTATTACACAGTTTTCCATTTCAACCTGACATGAGTGTGATTCAAACAAAAAGTAAGAATGATGTCGCCCCTCAGGTAAAATAACAACAGATGCAACAAATGCAGTGAAAAAAGGTGCCAGGGACAGCAGGTCACTACCACCTAATGGTATAAAACTTCCTGCTGAGAGATAGTATTGAATAATCCAGTTAAGCAAACAGGTTCATGAGCAAACAATGATAGTTTTTATGGCCCATACCTTCCCTTGGACCTGTCCATCCCTGATCCTGACTCCCAACTATTAAGAAATAAAACAACTAAAATATTAATTATCAAAACTTGTAATAAGGCTGGGCTCACTTTGGGAGGCCAAGACCAGTGGACTGCCTGAGCCCGCAGGTTCAAAACCAGCCTGGGCAACTTGACAAGACCTTGTCTCTACAATAAATTTTAAAAATTAGCCGGGCATGGCAGTGCGCACCTGTAGTTCCGGCTACTTGGAAGGCTGAGGCAGAAGGATCGCCAGAACATAGTAGGTCGACACTGGGGTGGCCATGAGTGTGCCACTGTACTCCAGCCTGGGCAACAGAGTGAGATACCAACTCAAAAAAAAAATTTATAACAAACCAAATTTAAACTCTGGTTATCAGAAATAAGGCCAAAAGTCACTCACATAAATCCTCCATCTTGGATACTGACAATCTGTGACCTCGTGAAGAGTCACCTAAGAATATAGTTCTTACTCATTCACAAGAATTCTTCTCAACAGTGAAACCACAAAGAACTTTTAAAAGTTCGATATGATACCCCAGGACCCCACAGTTCAAGGTTCTACCATAGTATGTGAAGGCAGGTATTTCTCAACAGAGTATTTGGTACTCAGTCTCCTGACATGTGAGCCCATCTCCTGCTTCTTATGGTAACATGTTACATGACTAGATGCCAAATTGCCCTCAGTGAGCACAAAGCCTCCACTATGCTCCCCTAGAGACATTACTTGCCCAATTCTACCATCTCTGAAAGGTGAGAAGAAAACACAGGAAATAGAAATAAGCTGTCAAAAGAAATGCTTATGGGAAAAATATAAGCAGAGAACAGTGAGCTTATGGGGAAAATGAATATATTTTAGAAATGGGGGAACAGGTGACAAACAGAGTTGAAAAAGACTCAGACACAAGGAAAAAACACAGTGAATCTGGGGAAATAATTACCATCAAGATTTCAGATATACTTGAAGTCCTCTCTGAATCAGTGCTAATTGCATGTAAGGATCAACTAGGAGGTTTACGCGCTCACAGATGTGCAGAAACCATTCCCTAGATTTAGATTCAATCGGTTGGGGTGAGGCCTGAGTTCCACCTCCCGAGAAGATTCTGGAGTGCAGAAACCAACTCCAGATAATCACTGCTATCCTCTTTCCTGCACCATCCCTGTGTCTGAGTCTGGAGCGGCTGGAGACCTGCTGTGAAGTACTTACAAGACCACAGAGTTTTACTCCAAGTTGCTGCCATATATCATGCTTCCAAGAAACACACTTAGGAACGTAGAATTCTGAGATTTCAACAGTGAAACTGAGACCCTCTGTCCTACACAGTAAGGAAAACTCAATGTTTAAAAACGATTGTATTTAAAAAGTAAAAGGACAAATCATAATTTGTTTTTAAGATTACCTCTAAAGAGAGGAAATAGAGTCAAAGGGGCAAGAACAACAGCCCTCTAAAAATAACCTCTTCTGTAGATTTGAATTTGGAACCTTGAAAATATTATATGAAAGTACAAAACATACTTAAATTTATAAAAAGTAGTTCCTAAAACCAGAGAGTAAAATGAAGCAAATGTACCTAAGTATATGCCTATCCAGTTGTTGGTGTGACCACACAAAAAAGGAACTATTGGAAAAGGTTTTAAACAAAATAACCTAAAAATGCAGTCCCTGTCAGATATACCTTCCCTAACAACAATATATGCTGCAAAAAAAAAAAAAGTATCAAATTGTTTTCAGAAATCATATTATGGGTGACAGTGTTGATATTCTAAAATAAAACAAATAAATAATTATTTTGATATATTGAGAACTAGGATTAGGCATGGAAGAAAAGAAAACAAACAGATGAAGGGAGAAAAGAAATAAAGACGTAAGTGTTAAGGATTAAGTAAAAAACACGAATGTCCCAAATCTGATTTGGAAATTACCATATAAACTCATGATGTATATATTTTCATTCTCTGGCTTTGTGCAATAAGAAAGCCAAGAAACAATAACCAACCCAGCAGCAATGAGCACCTCTAGAGCCCAGACTCAGTCTCTAGATATCATTTCCCTTTAAAAGGAGTCAGGCTTGGTGGCTCAGCCTGTAATCCCATGCCTTGGGAGGCTGAGGTGAGCAGATTGCCTGAGCTCGCAAGTTCGAGACCCACCTGGGCAACTTGGTAAGACCTCATCTCTACAATAAATCAAAAATGAGGTGGGCATGGTAGTGCGCACCTGTAGTTCCAGCTACTTGGAAGGCTGAGGATCACTGGAGCCCAGCTGGTCGAGGCTGCGGTGGCTGGGAGCGGCCACTGCACTCCAGTCTGGGCAACAGAGTGAGACTCTAACTCCAAAAAAATAAATTTAAAAAAAAGGAGTCAAGGCTGCTTGGAGAAATGGCTAATTCCAGAGTTGAGGCAAAAACTGAGCCAGAAACATACATCACACAAGAAAACTAGTAAAAACTACTAGAGTATGTGCAAAAGACTCAGGACCCAACCTCAACAGACTCCCACTGCCCAAAGATGGCTAAAGCTTGGTATAAGGATAAGTGTAATGGACCAAAGCATATCAGAAATGTTTAAATCCCTGACCTCATAATGATACTCATCAAAACAAAACAAACAATAACAAAAAACTCAGCTGGGCGCAATGATTCACACCTGTAATCCCAGCACTTTGAGAGGCCGAGCTGGGAGAATTGCTTGAGCCCAAAATTCAAGACCAGCTTGGACAACAAAATGAGATCTCATCTCTACAAAAAATCAAAAACAGCCAGGTGTGGTAGCATGCACCTGTTGTCCCAGCTACTCGGAAGGCTGAAGGAGGATCACCTGAACTCACAAGGTCAAACCTGTGGTGAGACATGATCATGCCACTGCACTCTGGCCTGGGTAACAGACTGAGACTCT